TCCCAACATCTCTGACAGAGAGGGGGTGATCCCTCTCATCAGATGGAGGAGGAAGCTGACACTCAGACAGGTGAGTAGCTGTAGGAACAAATCTCTAAAGAAAACCCCCCAAAATCCCACCCCTCCTTTATATAAATAGTGCTGCTGTAAACACATCTTTGGTATGTACATGCACTTTTATTAGGTATTTTTAGAGTGGAATTTCTCAGGACCAGGGTATGTGCATATTCAGTTTTAGTAGGTATTGCCAAACATTTTCCAAAGTGGTTATTAAAATTTACCTTCATGAGAGTTCCAGTTGCTTCAATTCTTGATATTGTAATTCCAGTTACTTTCTTGTTTTTATTTCTTCATTTTAACCATCCTGAAAATAAGTGGAATTTTATTGTGGGTTTCATTTGCATTTCCTTGACAATTAATGAGATCGAGAAACTCATATACTAATGTGGAATTTGAACTTCTTATTTTATGAAGGGCTTGTTTATATTGTTCATTTTCTATGGGGGTTTTGATATTTTTCATCAATTTTTAGCATATTATTAAATATTTTGGATACAAGCCATTTCTCAGCTGTTTTTATTGCAAATATCTTCTTTTTGGCATCTTTTATGAAGAATTTCTTAATTCAACCATTGCCAATCATTTTTTTTTCTGCTTCTTCCCCCCATCTCCCCCCAGTACACAGTTGTATATTTTAGTTGTGAGTCTTTCTAGTTGTAACATGTGGGACACCGGCTCAGTGTGGCCTGATGAGTGGCGCCACATCGACACCCAGGATCCAAACCAGCGAAACCTTGGGCCATCGAATCAGAGCGCACGAACTCAACCATTTGGCCTCAGGGCTGGCCCTCTTTTCATTGACTTTATCCAGGCCTGTCCACCCATGTGAGTGAGCGTATGTGCCTATTGGGGCATCTCAGTGAAAATTCTCAGCGTTCTTTCAGACCAAATGTCCCCCCTATATTCCTGCTTCTGAAGAATAGGTAACTTTTCAGGGTCAGGATATATATTTTCAGCACCACACTACAAACTACTGACTCTTTCCACTTGACCCCACGGAGAAGTGTATGATGTGCTGTTTTATTCATTTCCTGGTTCGGATGTTGCTGGTGAAATTTTAGCTCCTTTTACTGAAATGTCCCATGTTCATTTAATACATGATGGGACTTGGCACTCTGAGCATCAGGCTAAGTCACCAGCAGGACCTTGCATTTTCAAAGGATAAGGAAGCAGAACACAATGAGCACACACCTTTGCCAGGACCTGCATACAGTGCTTTACATGTATCACAACATCCTTCTGAGGTGGGGCTTCTTATTTCCCCACTTTTCAGAGCAGGTGAGGCACAGACACATAGGGTGACATATTTTCAATTGTCACTACCCTAGGAAATGGAGAAACCAGGATTGTCATATTGAGGCAGCTGCAAGTTTCTGTGATGCTGAAAGTTATGTCACTGGTATTTCAAATGCCAGACAGGTCACACATGGTGGATAGTTTTCAGTAGAACTTCCACACTAACACCAACTAGGAAGAAGGAAATGGCCATCCACTTATGAAAAAATTGGTCATGAAAACCTTATGAGCAGAAGCAAAGCGTTGTCTGATATAGTGGCAGAGAATACAATGATGATGCAACAAAGACCAGGGAGAGTTCTCCTCTGCTCTACACAAGGTCGCTGGAAGTCAGAATCAACGTGATGGCGTCAACAACAAATTTGCTATTATGTTTTAGATATGTTTCATATTTTCAGAAGATGTTTTCTTAGGAGATGTTGCTAGGTAAAATTTTCGATCTACTAAATAGGACATTAAGATCTAGAACTTGGAGAAACCAGGTGAATTTCACTCACCCTTGAATGTTTTTGGTTTTTTAAAATTTTTTATTTTTTTAATTGCAGTAACATTGGATTATAACATTATATAGCTTTCAGATGTACATCGTAATATATTTCGAATTCTGTGTAGGTTACATCATGTTCACCACCCAAAAATTAATTAAAGTCCATCCTCTCACATGTGAGCCTAATCACCCCAATTCCCCTCCCCCCAATTCCCCTCTGATAACCACCAATCCAATCTCTATTGCTATGTGTTTGTTTGTCGTTGTTTTTATCTTCTACTTATGAGTGAGATCATATGGCATTTGACTTTCTCCCTCTGACTAATTTCACTCAGCATAATACCCTCAAGGACCATCCATGTTGTCACAAATTCACCCTTGAACGTTGATTGAACATCTATTCTTTGCCAAGCACCATGCCACACATGTGGTTCTATGTTTCCCACAGTATAATCTATAACATCATCGACACCAGGTCCCACTCCCCAAAGCCAACAACATTTGATTGTCATCTTGGTATACTGTCTTTTTTTTTTCAAGACATTTTTTTCTCTCATTTTGATTCTATAGGAGGTATGATTTTATGTCATTCTGTTTTACTTATTTTTCTGGGTAATTTCTCATCTTCTAAATTTTATTCTCACTGGTTTCATTAGGAGGAGATGTGCTATATTCAGTAAATCTCTCCAATGAGGTTGGGCATTTATTTTGTTTCCACTTTATCTTTAGTTAAAGTGCTGAAACTTCATTGCCCTTGGAGATGATCAGTTTTTCCAGTTCTTTCTCATTTGGTAATTGGAATAAACTTTCTAGAACAAAGAGCAGAAGAGTTCACACTCCTGACTAGAACTATTCAGTTGTCTGTCCTCTTATCTTCTCTACAACAGTATTGCTCAGCCAATTTCCCACCTGAATGTCCTTAACTGATGAAGCTCACACAAGCATCCCACACTCTGGAGTTCAAATCTTTTGAGGCACATGGATGAGTTTAGGGAAAGTAACCAAAGTCTGACTGCTGTTAGAAGGAGGAAAGTGCAAGGATTTATGACCATAAAATGAATATTTATTTTCCCATAGTGTCACTTCCTTCCAGTCAACTATTTTTCAACTTTATCAAACAAAGCAGGAAGTGAGAAAACAGAGTTGTGAAATGTCAGTATTGAGATTTCTCTATGAACAGCATCCTCCTAATTTTCTGATGGGGAACCAGTCAAATGTTCTGGGCTTATATAGCAATATGTTTATTACAAGTGACAGACTCCTTAGTTAAGCCTAGCAAAGAAGAATTTTATGAGAAGATTCTGAGGTCCTCCACATCACTAAAGAAGAGCAAAAGCACCTGTTGGTAAAGACAGTCTCCTGAGTCCCTCGTACTCCTGCATGTCCTGCTGAGCCTGCCCAAAACATAATGCTGTGACTGCTCCTTACCTGGGCAAGTTCTCAGGTTTGTGTTTTCAGGGAGCAACCTTGAGGGTTGAGATCGTGTCTCCCTCCAGGACAAAGAGCAGCTTCACTTACTGCTGTCTACAAAAATGGTAGATTCTGAGTTTAATTGTCTTTGCCTCCTGGGCATCTATCGACCTGACTCAGAGCTTTCTCTCTGACTTATCTTATCAACAGGATTTTCTGAAGTGCTCTGGGAGTCAAACTGATGCAGTCATTGCCCCCATGGGTTCACCATCTAGCAGGATGGGAAGCACTGAAGATGCCATTATAGACAAATCAAGACAGTTATGAAAGTGCTGGGGTCAGAAAAGAGACCTGGGCTAGAGAAAGAGATTTCGCAAGCAACTGCATCATTTTTTTAAAATTTCTAAAATATTTATTGGGAGCTTATTATGTGGCAAGTATTGTTCATGGTGAACAAAATAGACAGAAATGCCTTCACCTAGTATGACAGATCGGGCAAACACTTGTTCTTGGGCATGAGAAGTGAGGAATTGTTGCCAGGGCCACACCTCAGAGTTGGGCACAGACAGATAAAGAAAAGAGGGCATGGCTGGGAGGTCTGGTTCTCTCTTCTCAAGGACCAGGCTTGGGAGGGTGGAGATAGAAACGAAATAAAGAATAAAAGAAAGCAAAAAAGGAAGGAAGGAGGAAGCAAGAAGAGAGAGAGATTCCTCCTTGGCTGAGTCTATGGAAGTGTGGATGGCCAGCCTAGCAGCTGTTGTTGTCACTGCTATTAGGAACTGTATAACTGTCTAAACATTCACAAAGCAGTTAGGACAGTACCTAGATACAGAGAAAAACCCCAAGGAACACTGACTAAGGCCCCCTTTGCCATTGGGGCCATCTACGTGGACTTATCTGGTCCCTCCACTTGCTGGCCTGTGTGGTTTTGAGAAGCTCATCCAAGCCTCCTTTGTGACATGGGGACAGGGCTGATTCCCTCAGAGTCACTGTGAGGATTGAATGAGACAGGACAGGTGAGGAATTGATGCACAGCAGGTGCTGAGTGAATGTGTTAGCTCCCTGGGGCTGCTGTGACGAATTACCACAGACGAGGTGGTTTAAACAAGCCGAAATTTATTCTCTCCTAGTTCTGGATGGCAGGAGATCAAAAGAAAGGTTTCAGCAGTGCTATGCTGCCTTGGAAGGTTCTAGGGAAGACTCCTTCCCTGTTTCTTCTAGCTTCTGGTGGTTGCCAGCAATCCTTGGCATTCCTTGCCTTATGACATCACACATCCAGTCTCTGCCTCCTTTGTCACATGACCTTCTTCCCCAAGTGTGGCTGTGTCAACATTTCCATCTTTGTTTAAGGAAAACAGTCAATGGCTTTAGGGCTCCCCTCAATCCGGTCTGATGTCATGTTAACTTTGTTACATCTGCAAAGACCCTATCTCCAAATAAAATCGATTTCACAGGTACCAAGGGAGAAAGCTTAAATATACCTTATTGGAGGTCACACTTTAACTCACAACAGTAACTATTCATTAACAGGATCATTGGATCCCCAGATGTCCCCACTGTCCATCTACAGGCCCTACCATCCTCCCGAGCTCCAGACCATCCATCTCTCTAAGTACCTGTTGGATGCTGGTCTCTGTAGGATGTTCCAGAGACCCTCAAGCTCCCAATATGTGACTCTGACCTCGTTGTCTCCATCTTGGTCCTGCCCCCCAACACTTGAGACAAGTGAAAACACACCTGGACACAGTCTTGTGAAAATATGTTCACAGCAGCTTTATTCATAATCACCAAAAACTGGAAACAAACCAAGCGTGCATCAACAGGAAAATGGGTATACAAGGTGCGATACACTGGAATCCTACTCAGCAATCAAGGAACAAACTACTGATATGCACAACAACATGGATGAATCTCAAAAAACTCAATACTGAGTGAAAAAATCCACATGACTACATATGGCATGATTCTAATTATATAAACCACTTATAATATTTACAAGGTTCATCATTTTCAAATCTTGATCAACTAGTTCTAGCACATTTGTTAAGAAGTCCTACCTTTCCCAATTTAATAGCCTGCGTGCTGCTCAGTGGATGCTGTATAATGTTTGGGTCTATTTATGGACTCTGTTCTGTCCACACCACACTCTCTTGATTACTCTACTTTGTAGTAGTCTGATGTCTCCAAATGTATTCTTTTTCAAGATTGTTTTGCTACTCCAGGTCTTTACATTTCCATATACATTTTAGATTCAACTTGTCAATTTATGTATGTGTAGGTATATATATTTATACATACATATATACATTCATAGTTTTTAGTCTGTTGACTGGGATTACTTTAAATCAATATGGAGAGGACTGACATCTTAACAATACTGTGTCTTCCCATCCATGAACATTGTATATTTCTTTATTCATTTGGATCGTCTTAATTTTGCTCAGCAATGTTCTATATTTTTCAGTGTGGAAGTATTGCATTCTTAAGTAAAAGAATATCACTTGGTAGTTTATGGTTTTTGGTGTTGTTATAAATGGCCTGGGGTCCGTTTGTAGGAAATTTTTAATGCCTCCTCCAATCCCTGATTTCTTTCCACCAAGGCTACTTTATGAAGTGACTGCTGTGATACACTCCTTTCTTCATTTGGGTGCTGTAAGAGAATGTTAGGACCATGTAGTTTCATTCATCAGATGGTCATGTGATCATTTGGGAACCTTCCTCACTCATTTGGTTTGTCTCTGTAGGGGGAGATCCTTGAGGTGCTGCTTGAATTTCCTATCTCAGCCCAGAAGTCCACCTCTTGAGCTCAGCTTTCAAAGACAGAAGCTGATGAAGGTTGAATGGAGGACATTCCAGTAGGAGGCACCTCAACAAGAAAGGTCTGAGGTCTGATGCTGTTCCCCTCCAGAGCCAGGAGAAACTCACAGTAGGGCCTTTCTGTTCAAACACAGGGCTCCAGCGTGTGTTCTGCATACACTTTGTGGCAGATGCTCCAATAGGATTTTACTCCCAGAATTCTCAACATGAACTTGCAGGTAGGACTTCTCATCCATATTTCAGAGAGCAGGAAAATGAGGCGTAGAGTGGTAGGTGTTGGTCTGTCACTTACTTAACAAAGGGACAGAGTGTGGATTCTAATTTGAAACTCTTTGATGCCAAAGCCTATGTTCTTTACAGTATTTAGGAAGATTTTAGCTCTACAGGAATGAGCACACGACTTTTTCTTTGCCCCGCGGGGGCCATCATCCCTCAAGCTAGGGCTGAGTCTCTGCAGTTTCTCAGGTGTGGATCTTGATCTCTGAGGACTCACAACCAGCATGGTCCTGTTCCTGTGGGTCCCGAGGCTTCATCCCACGATAGCTGAGGGATACACAACGGAGCTCTTCTTCCTGCCCTCAGCAAGGGGCAAGCACATCTGAGAGAGGGTGGGCTGGGAGGCTGCCAGCCTGGGATTTCACCAGGGCACCCTGAGTGGAGGGAGAGAGAAGGGAGTCAGAGAGGAAAAGCAGGGACAGGATAAAGCAGAGAGTGTCCAGGAGGGAAGCCCAGGAATTCCCTCATCCATTCATCCCAGGCACATCACGGTTGAGATCGCCTTCATTCATGCTTTCCTCGCATATTTAATACTTAGGAGCACTTTATCTGGTGTTTGCTAATCTCATTAACTTCCCACAAAAAACCCATAAAGAAGATATTACTATTATCTCTATTTTATAGATATGAAAATTGAGGTTGAACCAAGTAAGTAGCTTGCTCAGAGTCCCTGGTGAAACCAGGATCCAATCTAGTTGTTTCTGACCCCAAAGCCTGAGGCCCCCTGTGTGTGAGGCCCTGAGCTGGGTGCTGGATGTACTTTGATGGACACGGTAGACACAGACGCTGACCTCTTACAGTATACTCTTTAATTGAGGGAGGTGGCAAAAAAAATGAGTTAAACAAATAAATATCTACTTCTGAATTATATTATGATGCACAGGAACTAAGTGAGGAGAAATACAGAGCCTTGATTCAGGCATGGTACTTGCCCTTGGAAAGGTCACAGTTTGGTGGCAGGACAAGTCAGTCAAAGAAATTATGTCCCTGTGGTAGGCAGAATAACACCCCCCAAATATGTTCACGCTCTAATCCCATGGAAACTGTGAATGTGTTACCTTACATAGCAAAAGGGACTTTGCAGATGGAATTAAGTTAAGAATATTGAGATGGGGAGATTCTCCTGGATTATATTGGTGGGCCCAATGTAATCACAAGGGTCTTGACAAGAGAAAGGAGGCAGAGAGAGAGTTGAAGACGCAGGAAGGAGCCGTGAAACAAGGAACGCAGGCGCCCTCTAGAGGCTAGAAAAGGCAAGAAAATGCATTTTGCCCTGGAGCCTCCAGAAGGAACTCAGTCCTGCCTGCCAACGCCTTCATTTTAGCCCAGTGAAACCCATTTTGGACTTGTGACCTCCAGAACTGTAAGATGATAAATTTATGTTGCTGGAAGCCACTAAATTTGTGTAAATTCATTACAGCAACAAGAAGCTAATACAGACTCATATAGAAGAGAGTGACAGGTGCTGCCTGAGGAGCATCCTTCTTTGCTGTTCCCTTGACAAGAGAACACTTGACCAAAACTGTTAATGTTTTCGCTCCTCCCATTCTCTCCTAATTATTCAACTAAGATTCATATGCGCACAAAACCACTTCCTAATTCTGCTATTATCCAGAATACCAGTGACCTCTGCTAGTGAAATCCAAATGGCCATCTTCAGTCCTCACCTCTCTGGACTTTGCACCAGCAGGTGACCCAGGAGCATGTCTTCCCTAAACTAAAGCCCTTCCTTACTTAACTACAAGATATCACACTTTTCAGTTTCCATAAACCTCATTGGCAGCCCCGTTGCTGGTTGCTCTCCAATCAAATGGGGAAGGAAGAGCAATAGAGGAGAGAGGAACAGCCCATGCAAAGACCCAGCGGTAAAAGTAAACTTGTTCTGGTTGATGCTGATGAAAAGTCCAGTGTGGATGGAGCAAAGGGTGGAAGGCAGGAGGAGTGGCCGGAAGTGGACTGGACAGTGGGACTGGAATCAGGGTGTGGTAAGTGAGGCACTCGCCTAAAATGGAAAATTAAAAGGGGAGCCAAAAACCCAGGTGAGTGCAATAAGTAACATTTGAATGCAAGATTTTTAAATCAAAAGGAATGCAAAAAGAAAACCATGGAGGACAAAATATCAAATGTAAACAACTCAGTCTTAGGAAGAGTGCCCTTCTAACCAATTGGAGCCTGAGGCAGAAGGAAATATGTGTGCCCATATTTATGTTTTCATGTACTTTTAATGGTCAATTTTTCCAGAACATTTAAATAATTGAAATATTATTGGAAACCTGAAAAGTGATATGTATTATAACATTATTTTAAGTTTAAGAGTTTATGTGTATCCAAACACATTATTTATTTATATAGAAATTTACTATAATTCTGCTTTCCTGGATTTACCGGAAGTAAATACAGAGGGAATATTTTCAAAATCTCCTCTACTTCTCTTGTTTTCAACTGCGAATGCAGTTCATCAATTTATCACTCTTACATAATTATTAACTCACTTCAGTCTACTGATCCTGTCATTGTTTAGATTTTTGGTATTTTGCTCGTCATAGATTTTTTTCATTAGTTTTGATTTTTTAAAAAAATAGTGCATTAAAGTACTATCTCGATGACTGAGATTTTGGAGATCATTTTAAGTTTTGCATATGAGGAGAGTGCCTTGCTCTCCTCACCGTAAACCAGAATATGCAGGGCTGCAGGCTGAGGAGTTTGAGCTTTATTCTTTAGGTCAGGGTTCAGCAAACTACATAAAGCCCCTGGGTGAAATGTGGCCCGCTGTCTGTGTTTATAGATAAAGTTTTATTGGAACACAGCCATGCTCATTCATTTACATATAGTCTAAGACTGCTTTCTCGTTGCAGTAACAGAGTTGAAGGGCTGCAAGAGAGAATTTAAGGCCCACAATCCAAAAATATTTACTGTCTGACCCTTGATGGATAACTTTTGCCAGCCTCTCCTCTAGATGATGGGGGCAAATACATGTTCAAATGCAGAGGAACTGGACCATGATGGCTTTCAGATGATCGCTCTGTGTAGGGCAAGGGAGGTGAGAGGCAGGAAGGTGAGGGGTCCAAGAAAGAAATCCTGAAGCCTCAGCAATGATGGGGATCAAGATGGGGAGACAGGGAAACTGATGCTAGCTGCTCTTAGGACAAAAAATGGACAAGACATGGTGAATTTTTGACTTTAGTAGAAGAAAAGGTTAGAGAGAAAGTGACTCCTCCATGCCTGGCCTGAAGGAAAGAGGAAGGAGCTGTCATGCTGTCAGCAAGATGCGGATCTGACTTGGGGGAAAGAGGAGGAGGAGGAGGAGATGAGAGCATCTTTGGCCATGCTGAGTGAGGCAATCCAGGGGGCCATCCTGGGGGGAGATGTCCAGGCAGGATGCTGCATGGGGAGATGCCAGGTCACTCACCTGAGAGACTGACCCCGTGACTTAATTTGCACTTTCCATGTCCGTGTCCCTCACCCCTGCTGCTGGCCTTGTTGCTTCCTTCCTGCGGCGCCTCACTCTGAGTGAAGAGACCAGAGAACCTTTCAGCCAGACCAGCTCAGGGTGCTGTGAGCACGCTGACCCTCTCCTCTGTTCTCTCTTAAGGGCCTGGAGGGGTGACTGAAGTGGGAGAGGGGTGGTCCTGACACATATACCCCAGAGTTGAGTAGACAGGCTCCACCCTCCTGGACAGTGGGCCAGAGGTTTGTAACAGACTCACCCAGGTGCCCAGGGACTTCTTTCCTGTCCTTGCTTCAAGCTCTTGACTCATCCAGTCCCTCCAGCTCTGGGCTCTGTGGCTGCCTGCCCTTCCCACCCCAGGGCTCTCCCTTCCTCCCCAGGGTCACTGCTCACATGATGACGATGACGCAGAAGGACAGGAGGAGAAGGGTTTTAGCACCTGCTCCCCCGACAGCCCCCAGCATCACTCCTGATAAAGGACACGCTTTTCCTGCAAACAGATTGGGTTATTAGTGATTCCCCTCTGAGAACTCGGTCTCTTCTCCTGACACTCCACGTAGGTCCCTAGACTTCTGTGTTGAGGCCACTTTGCCAGATGCAAAAAAAAGGGACATTGAACTGGGGGCAGGTGGAGGGGGCAGGGTTAGAGTGAGGAGAGTGAGGCATACAAGTGAGGCATACAAGAGCAGGTTTGCAGCCTGACTTTACTTAAAAAGGTGATATTTTGTTCCTTGTGGAATTTATTTTGCATTCATTTTATTTTTTAAAAACTATTGCATTGTAATATTATTTCTTTTGATTCTGGAGGATTTTTTGGCTTCTCTTTAAATTTTGTGCCCATGGTAAAAGCCTCACTCTCCTGAGACTTGTTCAACCTGCAAAGGAAGGGCCTCGTGTCCCCAGACACACCTGTCCAGGCCCCAGCCCCTCTCCTCCAACACCCACCTCTTTCGCTGGCCTTTCCCTCCCAGCCCTCACCCCACGCCACACCCCTGGCCTGGAAGGAAGTGGACAGTGACACTCTGAGTCCAGGAAAATTCAGGCCTCACAGCAGAACACAGACCAGAGTTGAGCTCTGTTGAAGCTCACGGGGCTGCTCAGTGGACTGTGAGGGTGGGGTGGGTGTTGTCTCCTCCTCCAGCCCTCCTCCCAACCCGCCGGTGCACTCACTCTGCACAGAGAGGCTCAGGGAGATGTGCAGGGAGCCCTGAGGGTGCTGAGCTTGGCAGGTGAATTTGCCTTCGTGACTTGACTCCACCTGGGGCAGCTCCAGGACCTCGAGGTTCAAGGACTGTGAGGGGCTCAGGGTCTGGCTCCCACGGGCCCAGCTCAGCCTGGCAGGGGGGTTGCTGTCAGCAACACAGACCAGGCGCAGGGACTGGCCCTCCTGGACTGAAAGAGATGAGCCATTCTCCAGGGTTGTGGGTGCTGGCAAAGAAGAGACAGAGGGTCAGAGCCACAAAGAGGTGGAGATAAAGAGGAAGGATACAGACAGAGACTGGATGAGGACAGACACAGAGATGTAAGCGGAAGTTCAGGAAAACACACACTTTCATCCCTCACGGGTGGGAATGTAAACTTATTCTCCCTCTGAAAAGAACCACTTGGAGAAATCTCTTGAAATTGGAAAGAATATAGGAAGCAGCTATATTTTGCTTATAGGAATCTTTCCCACAGGCATGTTTGCGAAAGGAGACACAGGCTTGTTCATTGCAGTGTTTCTGCCAGTAGAATAAGATTAATGCCATGATTTTCCATTAACAGAAGATGCGTGCAAACTCAGAATCCATCCAGACGATGGAATACTGCACAGTCGTGGGGAAGAATGAGGACAACTGGGCTACTGATATCAAAGGACAACTTAGATCCTTTATGTGAACAAACCAAGGCTCAGAGCAGCGTATGGACACTGATCTCTTCCCTATAGGGGACTGGGCATCAGAAGGACAGACTCTGCTGTACGTTATGAATTTTGGACCGTGTGAATATATTACCTATTCAAAGGTACTTAAGTAAGGAATTGTTGGAGAAAATAAAAAGACAAGGCTGGAACAGTCACCAAAAGACTGATGATTAGGGGTCTCCAGAGGCGGGATCTGCCATGTGAATTGCCCTTTTCCCCTTGTGGAGCTGAGGGGATTGGAGAAGGCTGAGGGGAGTGAGGGGCCGATGGGGACAGCTTCTCAGAGGCCATGGGGGCTAAGGATGGGAGGGACCACAGGGTTCACCCACAAGCCAGTCTCTGGGGTGAATCCAGGGTGAGGCAGGGACCTGGCCTTGCCCTGAGCTGGAAGAGGTCCTGCTCCCTACAGCCCGGGAGGGGGCTCCTTCCTACCTGTGCTGTTTCCAAAGAAGATAGTTACGGTCAAGTTCTGCGGAGGGTCTGGGAGAGAAAGACACACATTGGTGTTGAGGGCTGGGTAGACATGGGCCCTTGTCCCCAGGAGCTGCAAATATGGGGCAAGGATAGAGGCGGGCCACCTCCTGACCCCCTCCCAGCCTGGATTCTGCGACCCCACACCAGTGTCTGAGGCCATCATACCTCCATCCCCACTGCCCTCAGGATCACATCAGGAATGGGGCATCCTGACCCAGCACTCACAGGACACGTCGAGGAGGACAGTCCTTGTCCTGGTCACTCCAGCCCCAGGCAAGTTCACCTGACATGCGAGGCTGGTGCCATGGTCCTGAGGCCGTGGGGTGAGGGTGAGAGCCGAGGAGCGTCGGGTCCTGGGGCCCAAGGCGGTGAGGGCTGATGTCATCCAGGAGAAGATGGGGGGTGTCCCCTGCTCACAGGCCCAGGGCACAGAGCAAGTCAGATTTGTGGGGTGACCAGAATGCAGGGTCTCCGGGATGAGGATGTCAGGTAAGTGGGTCAGGGCTGGCGGGAGAGAGGGAGATGTGGGGATCAGGATGGAGGGTCTGAGGTGCAGCCCTGAGAAAAGCCTCCAGCTTTGGTCCAACTCCTCCCTCTAAACTCTGACACACTTTACCCCCAAAACCTCCCAGGAGTGAGGTCTTATCCCAGTACTTCCGCTGAGGCCTCTCCTGGAGCCCTCTCCTTACCTATCACATGCACAGAGAGATAGTCTTCTTGGTAATTCCATTTTGCTTTTCCTCTCTCAACTCGATAAAAGTATGTTCCGTTGTCCGTCCTCCTGGCATCTCTGATGTCCAGGGAGCAGTTGTAGTTATGGGGGTTCCCAAGAAGGTGGAATCGGCCCTGGGTCTCCTCCCGCACTTTTCTATCTGGGTCATTTGTGGCCACAGGAGCGTCCTGGTTTGTTTTGGCCCCTTCCCAGAACCAGTAGCCATGAGCTGGGGTAGAGTTATTCCAGCCATCCTTGGGATAGGAGAAGGAGCAGGGTACTCGCACACACAGACCCTCCGGCACCTCCACCGTCCTCTGTACTTGCAGCTGGTAAGTCTGGTAATATTTCCAGGGCTCTCTATGGCCCTCAGCCCCCTCCCTCCACCAGAGCATGGCCAGCAGCAGCAGCAGCAGCATATCTGGTGTTGGAGATGCCAAATTTCCTGACAAAAGTTGTTTCTCAGGGTTCTCTCTCAGGAAATAAAAGTTCAAGATTTAGAGGAGGCTCCAACAGGAAGCTGAGGGTGAGGGCAGAACAGTGACCCTCCTCAGAGGAGGAAGTTCACCCCAGACACTGTGGGGACTGGGACAGGCCCTATAGTCAACCATCCACCACCCACATCCAATCCTGGGGACCCTGGGCCAGGGAGGGTGAGAGCCTCACCCAATTCACACCCCACACAGGGCCCTAGCCCTGTCTCTTGCCTCCCTGTGGATGCTCTTCCCCTTGGAGGGTCATTTTCTGCAAAGTGAAATATGTTCCCTCTGGTCAAACTTATTGAATCACAGGCTGTGGCTGTCTGTGGAGGTTGGTCTGGCCAAGGGTTGGACTCAGGGACACAGGAGATGTGGGAGGCTGACTGTCCTCACTCCCTGAGAATCCACATGACGGGCGTCCCCTCCCTGCTCATGAGGTCTCACACCAACCCCAGACGCTGCCCTGAGATTCAGTGTCCAGTGGGGAGACAATAGGTGTCCCAGCACCAGAACCTCCCTGTTACGGGGACACATGGAGACAAGTGAAGTAGACACGTAGTGAGGAACGCCAGCCTGGGGGTCCTCCACCCTCAGGGACGGTGAGGATTTTGTGAGAGAAGAGGCATGCACTTTAATTCACCGAGTTTATTTTCAGTGACCACGGGCTGGGCAGAGGTGGTGGGAATTCTGGGAGGTGGTGCCTCCTCAGACCCATGTTGGTTTCCTTGAGACTATTTTGGGGGAAACGTAAGACACATACACAGAAGTGCCCCCACAAGCTCAGTGGTTCACCACAAAATGAACACACTCAAGGTATAGAACATGGGGAGCACCCAGGACCTCCCCCTTGGTCCTCCTCCATATCGTGAATGCCTACTCCCTCGGAGGAGCCCCAACTTCACTGTGAAGCCAATTGTTTCCTTGCTTTTCTCTGTAGTTTTATCATCTGAGCATGCTGTCCTTAATACTATGGCTTTGTGCATGCTTTTTTTTTAAAGACTTTGTATACATGGAAAAAATCACAGTGTTTTCTTCTATTCAACTTCATGAATCTGTCCAACCTATATTATTCCATTCCCAGAACTATTACCCAACCCCCTGAGTAGCGTCAGTGCTGTGATCATGGAGAAGGAAGGTGCAGGGTGTGAGCATGCATAGGCCCTCCCACACCATCACCATTTCCTGAATTTTCAGCTGGAATCTCATCCTGCAGCCCTCCCCCTCTCCTGGGGCCCCCTGTCCTGGCCACTCACTCTCTCCTTGCAGGAACAGTTGCAGAATCTGTGATCAGAGGGTTTGGTCATGCCCAGCCTGTTCCCTGTGGTCCCCAATTTGCAAAAAATAGCATAAAAATGGGAAGGAGAGACATGGGGAAGCCACCGAGAATCTAACTGTGTGCAAAAGAGGAACTTATGACTCACACGCCATCAACGCTGTGGGGCCAGAAGCAACCCCATCCTGGAACTAGTATATTTGGTATATTTACTTCTTTTTTTCAAGGCATTTATTTTCTCTCTCATTTTGATCCCATAGGACATATGGTTTTATCCTGTTTTATTTTATTTTTTTAGTCCTCTAAATTTCATTCTCACTGGTTGTTTTTAAGAGGAGATGTTCTATACTTAATATGTCACAAATGAGGCTGGGCATTTATTTTGTTTTACTTATTTTATTTATTTATACTTTATCTTGAATGAAAATACTATAACATCACTACCTTGAGGATGATCAGGCTTTCCAGTTCTTTGTAATTGGTAACTGGTAAAACCTTCTAGTATAGAGATCAGTAGAGCTCACACCTCTGCTTAGAACTTTTCAGTGACCCACCCCCTCATCTTCTCGACAACAGCATTGCTCAGCCAATTTCCCACCCGAATGTGCCAAACTGATGAAGCTCACACAAGAGTCTCAAACTCTGGAGACCACATCCTTTGAGGCACATGGAAGAGTTGGGGGAAGTAACCAAAGTCTGGCTGCTGTTATAAGGAAGAAAGTGCAGTGGATTTATTCCCAAAAAAAGAGACATAATTTTCCCACAGAGTCACTTCCTCCCAGTCATCTTCTTTTTCAACTTCCTCAAACAAAGCAGGCAGTAGGAGAACAGAGTTGTGAAATGTCAGTATTGTAGTTTCTCTGTTTACTACATCCTCCCGGTTTTCTGATGAGGAACCAGCCAAATGTTTCAGTCTTACATAGTAATATGTTGATCACAAGTGACAGAACCCTCAGTCTATCCCAGTAATAGAGGATTTTGTAGGAGTACTCTGACATCTTCATATCAATAAGAAGAGCAAAACCACCTGTTGGGAAAGACAGTCTTCCTGAGTCTCTCTTATTCCTGCACGTCTTGCTGGGTCTGCCCAAAACATGATGCTCTGACTGCTCCTTACCTGGTCAAGTTCTCAGGGCTGTGTTTTCAGGGAGCAACCTTGAAGAGTGAGCTCACGTCTTCCCCCAGGACAAAGAGCAGTCTTCCTTACTGCTCGCTATAAAAGGAGTAGGTTCTCTGAGTTGCCTGTCTTTGCCACCCAGGGACCTATCAACCTGACTCACGTTTCTCTGGGGCTTATCCTATCAACAAAATTTTCTGAACTGCTCTGGGAGTCAAAACAAACCTAATCCTTGCCCCCATGGGCTCACCACCTAGCAGGAGATGTGGAGAACTGCAGATGCCGTTATAGACAACGTAGGGGTAGTTAAGATAGTGCTGGGGTCAGAACGAAGTCCTGGGCTTGCGACAGAGATTTTGCAAGCTACTGCAGCATATTTGTTAACTTCTAAAATATTCACTGGTAGTTTACTATGTGTCAAGCATCGTTCTTGGTGAACAAAACAGACAAAAATGCCTTCATCCAGTATCACAGATCAGGCATATACTTGCCCCTGAGAATGGGCAATGAGGAAACATTGTCCAGGCAGGGCCTCAGAGTTGGGCACAGGTAGATAAAGAAGAGAGGGCAAGGCTGGAAGATCTGCTCCTTTCTTCTCCAAGAACAGGCTGGGGAGGGAGGGAGGAATGCAGGGGAGAAAGAATGGAAAAAAACGAAAAGAAAAAATAAAAGAAAGAAAGCGGGCAGGAGGGAGGAAGAAAGAGTAGAGAGAAAGAGAAAGAGAGAGATAGAGATTCCTTCCCGGCTGAATCTATGACAGTGTGGCTGGCAGGCCTAGAAACTGTGGTCATCACTGCTCTTAGGAACCACTTAGCTGTTTGGATGTTCACAAAGCAGTAAAGACTGCGGACCCACTTATTGCCTTGGGGTCATCTATCTGAATTCAACCTGATCTCTCCACTCTCTGGCCTGTGTGGCTTTGAGCAGCTCACCCAAGGCTCCTCTGTGACATGGGGATAGGGCTGACTCTCTTCAGAGTCATTGTGAGGAGTGAATGAGACACGACAGGCAAGGCATTAACACACAGCAGGTGCTGAGCAAATGTATTAGTTCCCTAGAGCTGCTGTGACTATTTACCACAAACTGGGTGGCCTTAAACGGCAGAAATTTATTCTCTCACAGTTGTGGAGGCTGGAAGACCAAAATCAAGGTTTCAGCAGGGCCAGGCTCCCTCGGAAGGCCCTAGGGGGAATCCTTACTCGTGTCTTGCTACTTCTGCTGGTTGCCGTTAACCCTTGGCATTTCCTGCCTTGTGGCAACATAACTCCAATCTCTGCCTTCTTTGTCACACGGCCTTCTTCCCTACATGTGTCTGTGTGCAAAGTTCCCTATTTGTATAAGGACAGCAGCCACTGGATTTAGACCCCCTCTAATCCAGTCTGACCTCATATTAACTTGATTATATCTGCAAACAACCTATCTCCAAGAAAAAAATTGATTTCACAGACATCACAGGTAAGAACTTGAACATATTTTGGGGGGAAACACAATTCAACCCACAACAGTAGGTATTCATTGTAAGGTTTATGGACCCCCTTGTGTTCCCACTGTCCATCTCCAGGCCTTGCCTTCCTCCTAAGCTCAAGACCATCCATCTCTCTAGCTGCCTGCTGGATGCTGGTCTCCATGGGGGATGTCCCAGAGACCCTAGAGCTCCCAACATGTGGCTCTAACCCCATTGTCTCCATCTTGGCCCTGCCCCCCAACATTTGAGAGAAATAAAAACATACCTGAACACAGTCTTGTGCAAATATGTTCCCAGAAGCTTTATTCCTAATCACCAAATACTGGAAACAAACCAAACATTCGTCAACAGAAAAATGGGTAAACAAAGTGTGGTACAATAGAATCCTACTCAGCTATAGCAGAACAAAATACCGATATGTACATAACATGGATGAATCTCAAAAAACTCAACACTGAGTGAGAAAAAACACAGGTATATACTTCATGATTGCAATTCTATAAACCAATTGTAATATGTATAATGTTCACTTTTTCCAAAGCTCAAGCCACTTTTTCTATCATATTTGTTAAGAAGTCCTTCTTTTCCCAATTGAATAGACAAGGTGCTGTTCAGTGGGCCATATATAATGTGTGGGTCTATTTATGGACTCTGTTCTGTCCACACCACACACTCTTGACTACGCTACTTTACAGTAATGTCTGATTTCTCCAGTTGTATTCTTCCTTTTCAAGATAATTTTGCTATTTTAGATCCTTCATATTTTCATATAAACTTTAAAATCAACTTGTAAATTTACATGGATATATACATTTATACATACATATATATATATATACAAATATATATCTGTTGACTGGGATTACTTAAATCAATATACAGAAAACTGACATCTAACAATATTGTGTCTTCCAATTCTTGAGCATGGTATATTTCTTCATTTACTTAGGTCTTCTTTAATTTCTCTCAGCAATATTCTGTATTTTTCAGTGTGGAAGTTTTGCATCTTTTAAAAAGTAATTAGTCCCTGGTGCCTTATATTTTTGTGCTTTTATAAATGGACTGATGTCTATGTGTAGGGAACTTTTAATGCCTTGTCCAGTCCTTTGATTTCTTTTCATCAAGACTATTTCATGAAGAGATTGCTGTGATATATTCATTCTTCATTTGGGTGTTGTAGGTGAAATGTGAGATCATGATGTTTCATCCATCAGATGGTTGTGTGATCATTTGGGAACCTTTCTCATTTGTTTGGTTTGTTGCTATCGGGGAGACCGTGAGCTGCTGCTTAACTTTCCCTTCTGAATCCAGAAGTCCACCTTTTGAGCTCCATTTTCAGAGACAGATGAAGTCAGACGAAGGTCCAGTGGGAGGACATTCCAGGGGAAAGGAACTCAAGGTTTAAGGTTTGAGGTCTGATGCTGGTCCCCTCCAGAGCCAGAAGATACTCCTTGTAGAACCTTTCTGTTCAAGGCGCAGGGATCCAGCATGTGTTCAGCATACACTTTTTGGCAAGTGGTCTGAAAGGAGTTTAGCGCCGGAATTCTCACCACAAAATTTCAGGTAGGGCTTCTCATGCCTGTTTCACAGAGCAGGAAACTGAGGCACAGAGAGTTAGGGGCGGGTCTGTCTGCAAAGCAGCAGAGTGCAGATTCTAACTTGAAACTCTTTGTTTCCAAAGCCTGTGTTCTTTACAATTTTATAGGGAATCTAACTCTATGGGAATCAGCTCTGACATTTTCTTTGCCCCTCCGGGGCCATGATCCCTCAAGCCAGGGCCGAGTCTCTGTAGCTTCTCACTTGTGGAACTTGATCTCGGAATACTCACTACCAGTGGCCTCCTGTTCCCACAGGCCACTAGGTTTCATCCAATGAAAGCTTAGGGATGCATAATGAAGCTCTTCTTCCTCCCCTGAGCAAGGGGCAGCCACATCTCGGGTAGGATGGTCTGGATGGCTGCCTGCCTGGGATTCCATCCAGAGACCCTGAGTAGAGGGAGAGAGAAGAGAGTCAGTGCAGAAGAGCAAGCACAGGATAAGGCAGAGAATGTCCAGGAGGGAAGCCCCAAAATTCCCTCCTCTGTTCATCCCACACACATTTTGCTGAGATCTCCTTCATTCATGCATTCTTTAAATATTCAATACTTAGTGAGCACCTTATTTGGTGCTTGCTAATCTCATTAACTTCCCACAACAACCCTATGAGGAAGATATTAGTATTGTCTCTATTTTAAGGATATGAAAACAAAGGTTGAACCAAGTAAGCCACATGCTCAAAGTCCCTGGTGAAACCAGGATCCAATCTAGTTCTTTCTGACCCCAAAGCCTGAGGCCCCCTGTGTGTGAGGTCCTGAGCCGGGAGCTGGATGTACTGTGAGCGACATGGTAGACACAGATTCTGACCTCTTATAGCTTACTCTTTAATTGAGGCAGGCAGCAAAAGATAAGTTAAATAAATATCTAGTTGTGAATTACGATACAATGGACAAGAACTGGGTAAGTGAGATGGAATTGCAGGGCCTTGATTCGGGCATGGCACCTGCCCTTAGGAATCTCACAGTTTGGTGGGAGGACAAGTCAGTCAAAGAAATTGTATCCCTCTGGTAGACAGAATAACAGTGCCCCAAAGGTGTTCATGTCCTAATTCCCTGGAACCTGTGAATGTGTTACCTCACAGAGCAAAAGAGACTATGCAGATAGAGTTAAGATAAGGATACTGAGATGGGGAGGTTTTTCTGTATTATTTGGGTGGGCCCAATGGAATCATGAGAGTGTTGACAAGTGAAAGAGTGAAAAAGGAGGCAGAGAGAGATTTGAAGATATTATTCCCATGGCCTTGAAGATGGAGGAAGGGACCATGAACCAAGGATGCAGGTGCCCTCTAGAGGCCGGAAAAGACAAGAAAATGCATTTTCCCCTCAGCCTCCACAAGGAACTAGGCCCTGCCTGCCAAAGCCTTAGGTTTAATCCAGTAAAACCCAGTTTGGACTTGCAACCTCCAAAACTGTAAAGTAATAAATTTATGTTGCTGGAAGCCACTAAATTTCTTACAGCAGCAGCAAGAAGCTCATACAGACTCACACAGGGGAGAGTGACAGGTGCTGCCTGGGGAACATCCTTCTTTGCTGTTCCCCTTGACAAGAGAATGCTTCCCCAGAATTAATAATGTTTGTGCTCCTCCCATTCTCTCTTGATTATTCAAATTAAGATTCACACACACACAACCATTTCCCCACACTGCTATTATCCAGCACACCAGTGACCTCTGCTAGTGAAATCCAAATGGCCATCTTCAGTCCTCACCTCTCTGGAATTTGCAGCAGCAGATGACCCAGGTGCATGTCTGCTGTAAATGAAAGCTTTTCTTTACTTAACTGCAAGACATCACCCTTTTCTCAGTCCATCAAACTCACTGGCTGCCCCATTGCTGCTTGATCTCCAACAAAATGGGAGCAAAGAGCATCACAAGAGGGAGGAACAGCCCATGCAAAGACCCAGAGGCACAAATTACTTGTTCTGGTTGATGATGATGATGATGACGAAAAGTCCAGTGTGGGTGAGGCAAAGAGTGGGAGGCGGAGGCAGTGTCAGGAAGTGGACAAACAGCGGGGCTGGGATCAGGGTGAGGCAAGTGAGGCACTCGCCCAAAATGCGAAATTAAAAGGGGAACCAAAAACCTCAGTCGTTGAGATAAATAACATTTGAGTGCAAGACTTTTAAAAACCAAAAATCGAAAAAAGCAAGTGGAGAACAACATCTCAAAAATTCGGATAACCCAGGATTAGCAAGAGCTGCCTTCTGAACCAACTGGAGCTTGAGGCAGAATATATATATTCTGCTCCTATATACATGTTTTTATGTATTTTTAATGTTCATTTTTTTCAAGAATATTGAAACATTACTGAAAACTTGAAAAGTGCTGTGTATTAAAATATTGTTTTAAGTTTGAAGGTTCTATGTGCACCTAAACCAGAATTTGTTACAATTGTGCTTTTCTGGCTTTCTGGAAGCAAATGCAGAAAGAATATTTTCAAAATCTCCTTCTCTGCTTCTATCATTTTCAACTGAAAAGCCACCATGTGTGACAATTTCTCTTGACCAAGTTATTATCTTAAATAATTATTAACTAACTTCAGTCTACTAATCCTAACATTATTTAGATTTTTGATACTTTGCTCATCATGGATTTTTTCATTAATTCCAAATTTTTTAAAACAATGTATTAAAATTTCGTTTATCTCTATTACTGAGATTCCTGGCATTGCATTAAATTTTGCATCCTAGGCAACTGCCTCACTCTCCTCACCCTAACCCCGGCCCTTCTAGAGAGGTAGGTGCTAAGAGAGAAGATTATACAGGGCTGCAGGCTGAGGAGTTTTGGCTTCATTCTCTAGGTCACGGGTCGAAAAGGTACAGTCCATGAGTCAAATCTGGCCCACTTCCTGTGTTTGTAAATAAAATTTTATTGGAACACAGCCATGCTCATTCGTTTACGTATGGTCGATGGCTGCTTTCATGCTGCAACAGCAGGGTTCAGTGGTGTAACAGAGTGTAAGGCCAACAAAGCCAAAAATCTTTACTATCTGACCCTTGATAGAAAATGTTTGCCGGCCTCTGCTTTAGACAATGAAGGCAAACAGATGTTCAAATGCAGAAGAACTGGACAATGATGGCTCTTAGATGATCAGTCTGTGTAGGGCAAGGGAAATGAGAGGCAGGGAGATGACGGCCCAGGAAGGAGATCCTGAATCCTCAGCAATGATCGGGGTCAAGATGGAGAGAGGAAGGCTGATGTCAGCTGCTCTCAGGAGGAAAAATAGACAAGATGTGATGAAGTTTTGTCTGTAGCAGAAGAAAGGGAGGATAGAGAGAAGGTGATTCCTCTGTGCCTGGCCCGAAGGAAAGAGGAGGGGACTGTTGTGCTGTCAGCAAGATGGGGATCTAACTTGATGGGAGGAGGAGATGAGAGCAATGTTGTCTATGCTGAGTGAGGCAACCTAGGCAGCCATCCTGGAGGAGGTATGCAGGGAGGATGCTGGATGGGGAGATGCTTAGGTCACTCACCTGAGAGACTGACCATGTGACAACATTTGCGCCCTCCATGTCCATGTCCCCCATGCCCACTGCTGGCCTTACTGCTTTCTTTTTCCAGGATGTCACGCTGAGTGAAGAGAACAGAGAGCCTTTCAGTCTGGCCAGCTCAGGGTGCAGTGGGAAGACTGACCCTGAAGGGGCTGGAGGGAGGACTGAGGTGGGACAAGAGGATCCTGGTCCAGAGATCCCAGGGTTGAGAAGACAGACTTCCCCCTCCCCGCACAGGGAGCAGAAGCTTGTGACACACTCACCCAGGTGCCAGGGACCTCCTTCCTGCCCCCGCTTCAGGCTCTTGACCCACTCAGTCCCTCCAGCTTTGGATTCAGGGATTCCATGCCTGCCTGCCCTTCCAACCTCAGGGTTCCCCCTCCCTCCCCAGGATGACTGCTCACATGATGGCAATGGCGTAGAAGGACAGGAGGAGCAGGGCTGTAGCACATGCTCCACTGATGGCCCCCAGTGACGCTCCTGATAAAGGACATGCTTTTCCTGCAGACAGATTCGATTATTGGGGATTCTCCTCTGAGAACTTGGAGTCTTCTCCTCCCACTCACAGAAAGATCTCACACTTTTGTGTTCAGGCCACTTTGCCAGATGCAAAACCAGGAACATGGGGCTGGGAGTGCGGGTTAGGGTGAGGAAAGTGAAGCTTGCAACAGCTGTGTTGCAGTCTGTGTTTATTTAAACTATTGATATTTCGTTTGTCACGGAATTTATTTTGTATTCATTTATTATTTTTAAAAATATTTCATTGTAATGTTATTTCTTTTGATTAATTATGTTTCTTTGGCTTCTACTTAAATTTTGTGAACACAATAAGTGCCTCACTCACCTGAGACTTGTAAGGCACCGCAAAGAATGACCTTGTGTCCCCAGACACACCTGTCCAGGCCCCAGCCCCTCTCTGCCAAGACCCGCTTCCCTCCCTGGCTTCTTCCTCCCAGGCCTATCCCCACCCCACAGCCCTGGCCTGGCAGGAAGAGGACAGTGACACCCTGAGTCCCAGGGAATTTTCCAGGCATCAGAGCTGAGCACAGACCACATCTGAAGTCCCCTTTGAAGTTCAGGGGGCTGCTGGTTGGGCTGTGAGGGTGGGGTGGGTGTTGTCTCCTCCTCCAGCCCCCACTCCCCAAACCGCCGGTGCACTCACTCTGCACAGAGAGGCTCAGGGAGACGTGCAGGGAGCCCCGAGGGTGCTGAGCTTGACAGGTGAATTCACCTTCATGGCTCGAATCCACCTGGGGCAGCTCCAGGACTCCGGGGTTTGAGGGCTGTGAGGGGCTCAGGGTCCGGCTCCCACAGGCCCAACTCAGCCTGGCAGGGGGGTTGCTGTCGACAACACAGACCAGATGCAGGGACTGGCCCTCCAGGACTGAAAGAGATGATGCATTCTTCAGGGTTATGGGCGCTGGGAAGAAGAGAAAGAAGGTCAGAGATACAAAGAGATCCAAAGAGGAAGGATGCAGAAGGAGACTAGATGAGGACAGAGATACAGGCTTAAGTTGAAGTGCAGGAGAACCCACACTTTTCCTCCTTGCTGCTGGGAATGTAAACTTGTCCACCCTCCGTGTAAATCAACTTGGCCATATCTCTCCAAGTTAGTAAGAACATATGAAGTAGCTCTCTTTTGCTTTTGGGAACTCATTCCACAGACATACACAGACGCAGTTGTGAAAGGAGACCCAAGACTGTTCATTGTAGTGTATCTGTTAGTAGAATAAAATGAATGCCATGATTTTTCAATTAACAGGAGGTGCCCTACCAAATCAGAATCCATCTCGGCCATGGGATACTGCACAGTGACAGAGAAGAATGAGGACAGTCTGTCCTACTGATGTCAAATGGCCCCTAAGCTCCTTTAGGTGAACAAACCAAAGCTCAGAAAAGCCTATGGACACGGGTCACCTCCTGGTAGGAAACTGGGCACCTGAGGACAGACTCTGATGTACGTTTTGAATTTTTGTCCATGTGAATATTTTATCTCTTTAAAAGTACTTAAATAAGCAATTGTTGAGGAAAATAAAAAGACAGGGCTGGAAGAGTTATCAGAAGATGGAACATAAGGGGTCTCCAGAGGCAGGATCTGCCATGTGAATGTTGCCCTATTCTCCTTGTGGAGCTGAGGGGATTGGAGAAGTCTGAGGGGGGTGAGGGGCCCACAGGGACAGCTGCTCACAGAGGCCATGGTGGCTGAGGATGGGAAAGACCAGTGGGTTCACCCACAAGGGAGTCTCTGGTCACCAGGGTTAATCCAGGATGAGGTAGGGACCCAGCCCTGCCATGAGCTGGAAGAGGCCCTGGTCCCTACAGCCCAGGAGGGGGCTCCTTCCTACCTGTGCTGTGTCCAAGGAAGACAGTGATGGTCAAGTTCTGCAGAGGGTCTGGGACAGAAAGACATGGTGCACCCACATCAGTTGTGAAGGCTGGGTAGACATGGGCCCTTGTCCCCTGGAGCTGCATATATGAGGGAAGAGTGAAGGTGGGCATCCTCATGACTCCCTCCCAGGCTGGATTCTCAGACCCCAAACCCTGTATCCAAGGCCGTGGCCCCCCACACCCCCTACCCTCAGGACCCCATCAGGGACACAGGCATTCTGGCCAAGCACTCACAGTACACATTAAGCTGGATGGTCCTTTTCCTGGCCACTCCAGCCCCAGGCAAGGTCACCTGACAGGAGAGGCTGGTGCCGTGGTCCTGGGGCCGTGGGGTGAGGGTGAGAACCAAAGAGAGGCGGGTCATGGGGCCCAGAGAAGCAAAGGCTGCTGTCCTCCATAAGAAGATAGGTGGTGTGCCCCACTCACAGGCCCAGGGCACAGTGCATGTCAGGTTCCTGGGGCGGCCAGACTCCAGGGTCCCCGAGATGAGAATATCTGGCGTGTGGGTCAGGGTTGATGAGGAGATAGGGAGAAAGGAGGATGAGGAGGGATGGTCTGAGGTGTGGCCCTGAGAAAAGCCTCAGGTTGTTCCAATTCCTTCCTCCGAGCCCCGATATACTGTACCCCTAATACCCTTCCATGAGTTGGGCTTATCCCAGGCCTGCCTTAGGACCCCAAGCCTTCCCATGTGACCTCTCCTGGGGCTCCCTCCTTACCCACCACACGCACAGAGAGATGATTTAATTTGTAATTCCATTTTGCACTTCCTCTCTCCACCCGAAAAAAGTATCATCTGTTGTCCCCCATCCTGGCGTCTCTGATGTCCAGGGAACAGTTGCTGTCCTGAGGGTCCCCAACGAGGTGGAATCGGCCCTGCGTTTCCTTCTGCACTTTATGACCTGGGCTCTTTATGGCCACTGGAACATCCTGGTCTGTATCGGCCCCTTCATGGAACCAGTAGCCATGAGCTGGGGTAGAGTCATTCCAGCCATCCTTGCCATAGGAGAAGGTGCAAGGCACGTACACACACAGACCCTCCTGTACCACCACCGACGGCTGCACTTGAATCTGGTAATCCTTGTAGTTTATCCTGGGCCTCCTCTGGCCCTTGGCCTCATCCCTCCAGCAAAGCAGGGCCAAGAGCACAAGCTGCAGCAGCATATCTAGGGTTGGCTGTGCCAGGTTTCCCAAGATAGTCTGTGTCTCAGGGTTCTCTGTCAGGAACTAAAAGCTCAAGAATTAGAGGAGACTTTAACAGGAAGATGAGGGTGAGGTCAGATCAGTGACGCTCCTCAGAGGAGGAACTTCAAACCCAGACACTGTCCAGGCTGAGACAGTCCTTGGAGTCAATCATCCTCTGCCCATGTCCACTGCTGGGGACTCTGGGTTGGAAAGGGTGAGAGCCACATCCAAGTTCACACCCCATGCAGGGACCAAGCCCCATCTCCTGCCTCATTTTGATGCCCTTTCCCTTGGAGAGTCAATTTATGCAGAGTGGAAATGAGTCCTTTCTGGTCAGACCTCCTGAGTCACAGCCTGTAAATGTTTGTGGAGGTCAGTCCAGTCAGGAATGTTACTAAGGGACATGGGAAATTAAGGAACTAGACCGTCCTTCCTCCCTCAGCATCCATGTGGTGGGCAAGGCCTCTCTGCTCACAAGGTCACACATCAGCCATGGACCCTGCCCTGAGAGTCACTATCCAAGGGGGGAGACAACAGGTATCCTGGCATCTGGAACTCCCTGTAACAGAAAGACATAGAGACACGTGCAAGAGACACAGAGCAAGGAACGCTAGCCTGGGGGTCGTCCACCCTCGGCGACTGTGAGGATTTCATGAGGGAAAAGACACGAACCTGAATTCACAGAATGTTATTTTTAACTGTGTGGTGGGGGCTGGGAAGAATTGGTGGGACTCCTGGGAGGTGCTGCCGCCTCAGACCCATGTCGTTTTTCTTGAAACATTTTTGGTGGACACATAACACACATGCAGAGAAGTGTTGTCACAAGGGCATTTCAGTGATTTATCACAAAATGAACACCCTCCAAATAAGAGAATGTCGGGAGCACTCAGGACTTCCCCCTGGGTTCCCTCCCTGTCTCCACACCCTACTCCCTCCAAGAAGCCCCAGCCTTATTGTAATGCCAATTGATTCCTTGCTTTTCTCTGTAGTTTTATCATCTGAACAGACCGCCTTTAATACTATGGCTTTGTGCATGCTTTTCTTAAGACTTTGTATACATAGAAGACGATATAGTCTGTTTTCTTCAATTCAACTTCACAATCTATCCATCCCATGTTATCCTCTTCCCAGAATTGTTACCTAAAACCCAGAGTAAGTTAGTGCTGTGATCATGGAGGAGGAAGGTGCAGGGTTTGAGCATGCATAGGCACTCCCATATCATCACCATTTCCTGCATTTTCAGCAGGAAACTCATCCTGCAGCCCCTTCCCCCTCCTGAGAACCTGTGTCCTGGCCATTCTCTCTCTCTCTCTGTAGTGGCAATTGCACCGTCTGTGGTCAGAAGGGTTGGCCTCACCCTGCCTGTTTCCCATGGTCCCCAATTTGCAAAGAAAATCAGAAGAATGGGAGAGAGAGACACATGGAAGCCACAGAGAGTCAAACTCTTTGAAAAAGAGGAAATATAACTGGCCATCAGAGCTACGAGGCCTTCTAACTCCACTTTTCCAATTTAAAAAAGAAGATACCAAGGTCCAGAGTGGACAAGCAAATTGCGCAAATCACACTGGTGCCCTGTCTTATGCAACGTTGTCTGCACTGGGAGCCACTTCGTCAATCTTTGTGAGCCCAGCATTCATTGAGCTTTGAGATGGGAAGCTTATGTTAACCCAAGAGGGGAGAATTATCACCTATTCCCATGAGGTGAGGAGGGAAATCTCATTCATACACTCTTTCAACAATCATCTACAATGTGTCTTCAGGTTTCCAGTAAAGGGGAGAATATGAGAAATTTAGTCCTTGTCTTTGAGGAGAGCAGCATCTTGTTAGGGGACAGGTTACCTGACAATTCCCGCACATAGGGTAGCAGGCTGCGATGGGAAAGCACAGGCTAGGGTGAATGGGGCTCCTGCTCTTCTGGACTGGCAGGTGAGTCTCAGGGAGGACTGGGCCACGTAGACATGGAGGTGACTCTCAGGCAGTCACAAGGGATGTGAATTCCACAAGTGATCCAGGTACCCTGGGAATTCTGAACTCTCAAGTATCATGTTCTCAATTCCACTCACTTTCCCACTGTGCTGTAGATTCTCCATGAACTACCAAGTTCTGTGCTTTGTTTGTGACCAACCCCGTCTGATCCAGCCAGAGTCTGGCCACTGCCCATAGCGAGCACTCCCACCTGGCTCTTGGGGATCCCTTGGAGAAGGCTATTGTGCTGTCCATGGTTCTGATTCACAGCTGAGTGCTGACTTTGGAGATGTCTGCAGCTCTGTGGAGGGGCCTGATCACACAGCACAGGGACCTTATGTCTAGAGCCAGGAGGGTCAAGACATCAGATGTGCTGGGGACAGCTTTGATCTACCTCAAAGGAGGAACGCTGAGGAGGGGAAGATCTCTGCTTCTCCTCCTTGAACTTCTGGAAAACCTCAGGAATGTCCTATGGACAATGCCAGTCTGTTGTCACCAATCTGAGGGCAGGGAAGATAAAGGCTCTGTGCAGCTCTTTTAAATATCTCTTCCAATTTCACTGTGCCAACATCCCTGAAAGAGGGAGGTGATCACTCTAATTAGATAGAGGAGGCAGATGACACTCAGACAGATGAGGAGCTGTCAGAATTATTCTCCAAAGACAACCCCAAACAATTTTGCCCTTCCTTTATATAAACATGGCATTCCTCTCACTACAAAATGGAGTTTGTTATTATTTTCTCCTCCTCTTGAACCTGAATTGGGATCACGACTGCTTTGACCAACAGAATGTGGAAGACAAGATGTTCTGAGACTCATATATCTCAGACATTAAGAAGACCTGGCAGCTTCCACTCTGGCCTTGCAGATTTTTCTGGGTATCTGCATAAGCAATTCACGGGACTCTGATGGAGAGAGATGCTACATTGAGGAACCCTGGGGGGTTAGACTCCAGCCCCAGTCACCACCACCATCCCAACCTGACTGTCTGAAGTTTAGAGTGAAACTGCCCAGCTGGGCTCTGGACAACTTAGAGAACCATGAGATAGAATAAAATGGTGGTTTGGGCCACTGAGTTTTAGGATGGTTTGAGGGGAAGCAACAATAAGAGAAACAGTAGTTTACACAAATAATAGCTAATAGGGAGAAGGCAAAGTAAGAGGTTTACTCACCTGATGAGTTTTTCCACATACTCTATTTAAAGAATGACTTTTAAATGGTAATTTGAAACCTTCAGTGAAGATGCCTGTGGAGGATTTGCCAGGCTGGATCTACATTTCCCAGCACACCCTTCCCTATTTGCTTTCAGGTTAAAGTTGTTCACAAGAGAAGGGAGAAGTTGAAGTGGCAGCCACCAGGCTCTGAGGGTCAATGGAAGAGCAGATCCTATCGTAGCCCTCACACATCATCACTTATCTGTTGGCTCAACTCGCTGGTGTGAAATAACAGCTGCTCAAGTGGTGTAAGAATTGTGAGGAAGTTTAGATGAGCAAAATGAGATTACTGACTGTCTCCAATGGAAAACTATGCATTCTTTAGCGCAAAGCTTTCTGGAGTTATCTGATTCTAGGACTTCATTGCCTTTGAACGATTTTACAATGCTATAAGTTTAGATAATTAATAGTAATGAAAATAGCTCATGTCCACAGAGATGCACATTCTGTCCACTGAGAGGCCACTTGAGTCCCCCCATCCAGCCAGTTTCACATGCATTCACAAATTCATTTCAACATCCCTTTACTCTGTGCTTCTTCCATTTCTGCCTGGGTCTTGCATTAAGGAGTTAAAGAAATCAAGGAGTTGCTGTTCAATGGGTATAAGTTTCAATCATGCAAGAAGAATAAGCTCTAGAGATCTGCTGTAGATCAGAGTGCCTGTGGTTAACTATACTGGACAGCTAAAAATTGGTGACGAGTGTAGATCTCAGGTTATGTATTTTTGTACCACAATAAAAAGTATTTAGCACGTTTTCATTTTATATG